AGAACAAGGATAGTATATTTATAATCTGAATTTCTATCATTTCCTAAAATTCACTGTGGGAAAACCAGAGGTGATAACTACTTGATTATTTTCTAAACAATGTACCCACGAGTTGACGATAGTCTTTCTTTGATTCACTGCCGGAGTCAGTGATTCATAGAAACAAGGTTGCATTGTGTACTGTTGATTTAGCTGTTTACTTTTAAAGATGATATAAAATCACAGAATTCACTTACACAGTTTGTAGTCTTGCAAGCTCTTGACAGTCATTGAAGTTGACTTCATTGTTTTCTCCTAGTTAATAAAAAAATGAACCTCTGTTAACATACATGTATGCTTTAATAATCAGAAAACTGTAACAGTTTTCAGTGCTATACTTGATGCAAGTGCTTCAAAAACGTGCTGCATTCTTGTAGAGAGGTAATTATTTCCTTAACTATTTTCATGACCATTTAGATTGATGGGACATTGGTTTATGATGTAAGGGTAATGTTTATGGTAATTTTTGTTCTCACCTCTAACCAGAAGTGTTGAGGGATCACTGATTTCCAGTAACTCATATCTTGATTTTTCCTCTCTGCCAGCCATCTCTGCTATACCCTACATGTATGTATAAAGTTATGTTGCATATCATTGGCTGACGTACTTCTCAAGATCAAATGATCCAGTGGTTACTGTGGTGTACAATGTAAACTCGATATAACAAACCTCTATATAATGAAGTCCTCGGTACAACGAACGATTTTCTTTGTCCCAATAATAGTAAATTATAATGAAAAAGAACCTTGACATAACAAAACCTTGTTATAGCGAACAAAGTTTGCCAGTCCCTTGGCCCTTCGTTATATCGAGGTTCCACTGTACAGGTCTATCATCATTATTCTCATTGCATGAATACATAATTGGCCCATGATGTGGGAAATAAGAAACTCCTTTAAATTCCATTGTGTTGGGCCTGCACGCATAGCAACGGTAAAACCCTTTGTTTTAGCTTCAAGTGTTTATAACTCAACATTAAACCAGTTTTAGAATCCCTAATCCCACCTAGAAGGGCTCCATTATTCTAATGGAGGGTTCCCTCAGCATTTCGTACTTGTTTGTTACTAGTATCTGCCATGGTCTTATTGGAAAAAGTGTATACATGTAGTTGCGCTTTTAACACTGACTATCAAGTCATACCTCAAAGAACTGTTTCCTTGTGTAAGCGGTAAGTTCTCCGGTGAATCGTTCCTCAGATTCATAGTAATTGTCATAGGACAGTTGTGATAAAAATGTCACAGAGTAAGTAGAACCTACAGAGGTGTCATAATATAACTATCATTGTCATGTAACAAAATTAATGTGTTCAAGCAGTCATAAGAATAACAAGAAGTATGGTGTATGTAAGCACCTCATGCCGTTAAATGATCAGGCCATAAAATAGTTGAGGCAAAGAGAAAAATATTGTACAAGTGAGTCTGTCCCTGATCGCATTTGTCCCTGTACTCATGGCCTATGGGCCAAAGCCACAGCAACTGTTGTATGCTATAGCTCAAGGAGTGAAAAATATTTAACAATTATTGAACGAGGTTGAGCAAAATATCGTGATCTACGAGACACTGACAAATCACAATATTTTGCGATAACCGAGTTCAATAATAATGTTTTATCATTCGATCACCGGGTTTGTTTTTTTTAATGAATATCTTCGGGAAGCGACGCGATCTGCCATTTTCATGGAAGAGCGATCGCAAGAATGAGAAAAGCACGGTTTCCTTTACGCATGAGCAGAATGTTATTTGCAGCCAAACACAGTTGGACCGCATTGCGCATGAGCAGACCATTATTTGTTATTTGCAGTTCACGTGGTGGGCTCTCGGCCAATGAAAAGAAAGAAAAATTTGCTTCGAATAATAATAACGATTATTTGCATTTCATTTCCTAACACACTGCAAGAACTAGAAAAAAATTACCATTGGTTGTACATAAAATTAACTTAATTTATAAATTGCACTAGCATGATATGTTGTGGGTTACATCTGTTCTAAGGATAATCCAACCTCGTTCCCAGGGTTCTCTGGGAACGAAGTTGAGGATAATCTAGAATTTTCCTTTTTCTCCTATGGATAAATAGGATGAGGAAACAAAGGGTATTCTGAATCCCACAAGGTTGAACACCTATATTGAACTAAGGAAGGATTTAACTACAACAGATATACATGTACCTTCTTGTCCAGAGTATAATGCTGTCATTTCAGAGACAGACTGCTCTAACTTCTCTAATGCAGAATTCATCTGAAACAAACATAACATGAACATCATGTAATGATTTTATTATTGATAATAATGGTCAAAAGGTGATACTGATAATAAAGAAGATGATGGTGATGATAAAGACAATAATGACGATGATATTTAGTTTACGGAGAAAATACAATACACTCAGATTTAATAAGATTTGAAATTCAATTCGATTCAACTTGCAATGCACAATACTTGAATAGATGTAAATTTATTCACACAGTACCTGTGTGTTGTCAGCTTGGCTGGTTTCAAGAATGGCTTTGTATTTTTGTTTGTTTTCCTGAACCACAGAACCTAGTTTTGAAAGCCTGTGAGTTATGCCAGCATGATGGAGGCTACAAGAAATGACAAAAACACCTCTCAATTTTTACTACAATACAAACAAATGTAATTCTCTTTTAAATCTGCCCTCTTGGATCTTTTATAGTAATAGATCTAAAGTTTTTAAAATGTTGCCATATTTGTAAAGGCTGCCAGTGTTTTCACCCATATTTTCAAGTGAACAGCTGGTCTAGATTGTGTCTTGCTTTCTGCTAGGGTGTTTTCCCTGAATTTTAGCTCAGCAGGTAAGGGACCATTCCTGACTGGTATGACAAAAAATATGCACCAGAGGCATACTGTCCTGTGTGGGCTGCTAAGGTTGTTTCCCAAATCAGGCCTCTACCGCTAGTTTTCAAAGCACCAGATTGTAATTCCATCAATATTATTATTGGGGATGAGTTTAATAAGGTATAAAATAACTATAGTAGTTTGATTACTGCCAGAACAATCGCTTTCTCTGTACATGTACCTCAATTTGTTCCTCTGTGAAACAATTTTTTGGAGTCTTTGCTGTATCAGCTGCACCTCTGTCTGCAGGGAGCTGACCTCATTTCTGTGAAAGAAAGATGTTTTCAAGGCTTTAGAGCATGGGGGAAAAAAATTAAGAAATAATAACTTTGAATAGTTTTTACATGCATGCAACATCAACATTAAACGCGAACCTGTTTGTAAAACTTTGGCAGTAGAAAGAAGATGTTTTGTTATCGTGAAAGGTTTTTAAGTTGTTAAAACATGTACTGTTCATATAACCATGTAGATAAATGTAGACAAGCCTGGCCACGAAATTAATTTTTTGGGTGTTCACCAGGTGCTAAACCTATAAATTTGACTTTTACTTCACTAATCAAATGATTTTTCCCAAATCTATACCTCAGAGTTTCGTTTGAAAACTGTTCGTCTTCTTGTAACAACACTGAGAGAGTCTTGTCAATTTGTTCATTCTGCAGTAAACAAACGTTTTAATAAACAACACAACAATATTATTACTAAAACATTAACTGTGTCCCCATAACATTCTGGCTAGAGATTGAAAGAATGTGCCAGCTTTTAAATTAAGGACAAAACCAGTTTACTCTACTTCAAGAGTGAGCCACACTTTACTTCTCCTTACTGTCACACTACTCAGTCAAGCACAATAGTTTGTATGACAAAGGAAAATGATAGAGTGACTGAAAAAGGTATTGATTGTTGAACATATTCTCCTTACTAGTACGATCGCAGGGTTGTCAAAATGCACCAGCAATTGGCGCTATCACCAGCTACTTAAAGGTTTTTGCAGCCTAGTGATATGTGTTCCCCCACCTGGGAAACACATATCACTAGTGATATGTGTTCCCCCACCTGGGAAATACATATCCCTAGTGATATGTGTTCCCCCACCTGGAAAACACATATCCCTAGTGATATGTGTTCCCCTACCTGGGAAACACACATCACTAGTGAAAAAATGGATATGTGTTCCCCCACCTGGGAAACACATATCCCTAGTGATATGTATTCCCCTACCTGAGAAACACATATCCCTAGTGATACCTGTTCCCCCACCTGGGAAACACTTATCCCTAGTGATATGTGTTCCCCCACCTGGGAAACACATATCCCTAGCGATACGTGTTCCCCCAACTGGGAAACACATATCCCTAGTGATATGTGTTCCCCCACCTGGGACACACATATCCCTAGTGATATGTGTTCCCCCACCTAGGAAACACATATCCCTAGTGATATGTGTTCCCCCACCTGGGAAACACATATCCCTAGTGATATGTGTTCCCCTACCTGAGAAACATATATTCCTGGTGATACGTGTTCCCCCACCTGGGAAACACATATCCCTAGTGATATGTGTTCCCCCACCTGGGAAACACATATCCCTAGTGATATGTGTTCCCCCACCTGGGAAACACATATCCCTAGTGATATGTGTTCCCCCACCTGGGAAACACATATCCCTAGTGATATGTGTTCCCCCACCTGGGAAACACATATCCCTAGTGATATGTGTTCCCCCACCTGGGAAACACATATCCCTAGTGATATGTGTTCCCCCACCTGGGAAACACATATCCCTAGTGATATGTGTTCCCCCACCTGGGAAACACATATCCCTAGTGATATGTGTTCCCCCACCTGGGAAACACATATCCCTAGTGATATGTGTTCCCCCACCTGGGAAACACATATCCCTAGTGATATGTGTTCCCCCACCTGGGAAACACATATCCCTAGTGATATGTGTTCCCCCACCTGGGAAACACATATCCCTAGTGATATGTGTTCCCCCACCTGGGAAACACATATCCCTAGTGATATGTGTTCCCCCACCTGGGAAACACATATCCCTAGTGATATGTGTTCCCCCACCTGGGAAACACATATCCCTAGTGATATGTGTTCCCCCACCTGGGAAACACATATCCCTAGTGATATGTGTTCCCCCACCTGGGAAACACATATCCCTAGTGATATGTGTTCCCCCACCTGGGAAACACATATCCCTAGTGATATGTGTTCCCCCACCTGGGAAACACATATCCCTAGTGATATGTGTTCCCCCACCTGGAAAACAAGTATCCCTAGTGATATGTGTTCCCCCACCTGGGAAACACATATCCCTAGTGATATGTGTTCCCCCACCTGGGAAACACATATCCCTAGTGATATGTGTTCCCCTACCTGGGAAACACATATCCCTAGTGATATGTGTTCCCCCACCTGGGAAACACATATCCTTAGTGATATGTGTTCCCCCACCTGGGAAACACATATCCTTAGTGATATGTGTTCCCCTACCTGGGAAACGCATATCCTTAGCAATATGTGCTCCCCCACCTAAGAAAGACATATCCCTAGTGATATGTGTTCAACCACCTGGGAAACACATATTCCTAGTGATATGTGTTCCCGCACCTGGGAAACACATATCGCTAGTGAAATGTGTTCCCCCACCTTGGAAACACATATCTTTAGTGACATGTGTTCTCCTACCTTGGAAACACATATCCCTAGTGATATGTGTTTCCTAAGCTGGGAAACACATAGAACCCTGCGATAGGAAAGGTATGGAGAACAGTGTGGAGAATAAGCAGGAGGATATGACTGTTACTAGGCAGAATTAAATTAATTTATTAAGTTTGGTTGATTCTCTGTTTCCTTTGCCTTATAATTAGGGTAGGAGAAAAAGGTAGTTGAGAATTAACCCAGAAACTTATTTTGAGCTGAAGAAGATAAAAGGAATAATATTAAAAGGTTAATATTACTATTGTTTGTTTTTAAAGGAATTATTTTCATCTACAGTGTAATGATCTCTAGATTATTTCTATATTAATAAAGTAACTTCAGTACGTCAAGTTACTTACTTCAAGAATAGAAGCTCCTGATGAACAAAGTTCATCAAACCTATAAGCAAAGTAGAAGGTGGAGTTACTAAAGGTGATGAGAAAAAAAATAATTTGACATGGAATCTCCGAGGAAGGCTATCACAGACATAGAAATTAACATTAAATTACATTTTTAAACAAAGGGTGGCCAATTTTTCTCATGTTAATTGATGTCAAATTCATTATGTACCAGTCAATTCCAAAACAACTTATCCTCCCCCAGGGTATACCCTGGGCATTTGACAGGAGTTTTGCTCCATACAGTGGGGAATTTGATCCACAATAAGGCCGCCACGGAAGGATTTTGTAATTCTTCCCACATTCAGCATGTGCACCGCATTTACTGGTCATTGCTCCTATATTTCACTGTCTTGTTTGAGATGATCATTTGAGAGCCTTTGGAAAAGCCTGTTAAATGTGGACTTTCTGGAATGAATAGTTTCATTTAAATTTAATGAACAAACCTTTATAAGACAACTTTCCGAGACTTTAGATATTTCAGACGTGTTTAGTAGGATATTTACATTTCAATAAACGGTTTGACGCATGGGAAAATTTTTTGAATAATCACTGGTGGGTGCGAAATTTGATGCTTTTTGAAGCGCTAGGCCAGTGGGGCATTTGACCATCTAACCTGCCAACTTACATATCCTGTGGAATTTGACCACATTTTTTTAAAAAAGTGAAATGCTCGTGCTTTCAGTGTTATCAAGAAATCAAAATGTACTCACAAATGTAATTTTTATGGCTTACTTATTATCCTTTGGCTTTTTTGTTTTTGTTTCTTTGCATGTCAACGTGATTGCAATTGGTGTAGGTATACAGTATTTTGGGGGAAATTTGGGAAGACCTGCTCTGGCCTTTTTAGAGAGATCTATGAACTCCTTTGAATACACAAGTATACAAACTGAAAACTCTAGAGTACTTTCTCAGTGGCGTAGCAATTATAAATTTCCTGAGTCTAAATTGTTTCATATATACCTGTTTAAATCCTCTTGTGATAGCACATTAGTTTCGTGTATATTTTCACAAAACCATTCCAGAAAAGGCACAAGTGAGTCACAGTCGAACAACCACTCAAGACTGTC